TGTCTAATCAAATCCAGGCCTGACCTCTGCAAAGGCCCTGGACCAGGCAATAAGTTCCCTCCCTGAACTGCTGTAGATCCGGTTCTCAGGAGATCCTGGCCCTCTGGGTGATTTATAGGCGTGTCCAGGACCATTTCCTGCCATTTCTATTCCCTTCCAACCACGGAGTGCTGCCCTCATTCTTGGCCCCTCTTGCCTCCACCATAACCTGCTGTACCCATTGGTGGGTCACAGGAGAGCTGGAAGACCCTTTTCAGAAGTACACAGGACATAGGCTTGTCATCTCCTTTCCCTGTTGCTTCCTTTTGGCCCTCCCACCTGGCAGGGCTCCCACTACTTCATTACCTCTCCTGTCACCCATCTGGAAGTGAGGAGCCCACAACCGTCCTCAGAGGACCAACAAGTTTCTGTACCAACAGCAAGGGTCACAGCACTGCTTTAATGTCTAGCAGCTAATGCAGGTCACAGTCATCAACCACTGGGATGACTTGTTCAGGGAATCCAGAGGCCCTGCTGGCAACCCAATGTTCCATATGTGCCCAGGAACCCTTTCCCCAGACAGATAATAACATAAAAGTACCAGGAACCCAGAACTGCTGTCTCAAGCCCAACATGAGGGGACCTTATTTTCATTTTTGATTCAGAATCCCACTGTGCAGCTCAAGCTGGGCTCGAATTAATGATTATCCTGCTTCGGCCTCCCTAATACCTGTATTACACACGAATATTGCCACACCCGGCTAAGCACTGATTTCTGTGGGGATGTGGTAGCTCTTGTCTAGAATCCCAACACCTGGGAAGGCTACAGGAAGATTGCATTGTTTGAGGTCAACCTGGGCTACATAGCAAAACTCTGTCTTTAAAAACAGAACAAAAGCCTTTAATCCCAGCACTCGGGAAGCAGAGGCAGGCGGATCTCTGTGAGTTCGAGGCCAACCTGGTCTCCAGAGCGAGTGCCAGGATAGGATTCAAAGCTACACAGAGAAACCCTGTCTCGAAAAACAAAAAAACAAAACAAACAAACAAGCAAAAAACATAACAAAAGCCAGGCAATGGTGGCACAAGCACTAGGGAAGCAGAGGCAAGCAGATCTCTGTGAGTTCGAGGCCAGCCTGGTCTACTGAGAGAGTTCTAGGCCAGCCAACGCCACACAGAGAAACCCTGTCTCAAAAGAGCAAAACAAGCAAGCAAACAAAAAACAGAACAAACAACACACACACACACACACACACACACACACACACACACACACACACACACACAACTTGTGAACCAATTATGTTCTACCCTGACACTAGAGGAATCCAAAAGCCTGTTTGTATGCAATGAGTCTTTCTTTGTCCCTCCAGCCAGCTCCCCAATAATGACATGAAGACTTCTTATTATGAAAACTCAGCCTATAGCTTAGGTTTGTTCCTATCTAGCTCTTATAACTTAAATTAACCCACTTATGTTAATCTATGTTATATCACGTGGCATTGTCTCTCTTCCATCTTTCATCTCCTGTTTCCTCTCCATGTCTCCCGGCATCACTTGCAGGCCTAGATTCATCTCCTGCTTCCTCTCTCTCTCCCTGGAAGTCCTGCCTATACCTCCTGCCTAGCTATTGGTCATTCAGCTCTTTATTAAACCAATCATAGCAATGTATCTTCACATAGTGTGCAAATATCCCACAACAAACAAACAACATACACACACACAAGACTTATGAAGCATTTATGTCCCACCCTGACACTAGAGGAGCCCAAAGCCTGTTTGAGAGCCAGGAGAGCCTTGAAGGTTCCGAGACTCCAGCCTAGCTGGGTAGGCTCTATGGCCTGGAGACTGTGGCAAAGGTTAGCTCAGAATCTGAGGGTCCTGAGGCACCTACCCCTCCATAAACTAGGTTACTCAGCAAGCCCCAGGGTGACCAAAGAGTAAGTGAAAGACAGGAAGAGGCCAAGGAAGCAGAAGCACACCTGACAGGCCAGCTGGACTCCCCAGGTGAAGCTGTGGAACCGGCTCTATCTGTGCTCATGACCTTCCCTCCAGCCACAAAGGAAAAGCAGGCCAGGGCTGGAGAGATGGTCCAGTTGAGAGCACTGAATGCTCTTCCAGAGGACTCAGGTTTAATTCCTAGCACCCATATGGCAGCTCACAACTGTCTGTAACTCCAGTTCCAGGGGTACCCTGTTCTGATCTATTTCAGCAACAGGCACACACATTGTACATAGACATAGATGCAGGCAAAATACCCATACACATAAGATAAAAATAAACAATGTATATTTTTGTTTGTTTTTTTTGAGACAGGGTTTTGAAATCCAGCTGTTTTGGAACTCCCTTTGTGGACCAAGCTGGCCTCAAACTTGCAGAGAACCACTTGCCTCTGCCTCCTAAGTGCTAGGATTAAAGGTGTGCGCCACCACCACCCAGCCTAAATAATATCTTTTTAAAAAAAAGAAGTGGAAAAAGAGTAGCCTGGTTTAACATACAGTCTGCTGCAGGGTTTCCTGGCCTTGGAGAGAGAGGAAAGGATTTTTACAAGACAAAAGGATTCGCTTCAAAATGGTTTTCAAGCATTTTTGGACAAGCAAAGCAGTGCTCCAGAATAAGCGTGCCCACAAGACAGCACCCAGGGCCCTCCAGTAAAGGCAGAGGGCAGGACGGGCCCCAGGGGACCTTTAGGAGTCCCATGACCTTACTGGTGTGAGGATCGAATCCTTGCCCACACCCTTCGAGCACTGGTATTCCTTCCCAGCAGCCTCATATTCAAGCTCCCTGTGCTGATAGTTTCCCTCTGAGGTTGGGGTTTGAGGGAGGGCTGCCCTGCAAAGGCCAGACCGTGCCATCCCAGCACCTAGACCTGAAAAGCAGCAGCTTCTTCTGTCTCTCCTCAGACCAGTTCTAGGGCCTCCAGGGAGACCAGCCAGGGGGTCTAGGGACACAAAAAGGCTTGATTCTAATGAGGAGGCATCTGCAGTCAGCAGAACCATTAGTCCACGCCCCAGGTCTGGGGTGGGGGTTAGGGAGATACAGCTCCTCTCCCTACTGGAGTGAGGAGGGGACATCAGCTCCTACTTAGGCAGGGTCTGGGTGAGGAAGCAAGATAGAAGACTCTGGAGCCTAGGTGCCCCCCCTCCCCCAATTCTGACTCCAGCCCTGCCTTCCTGGAGGTTGCGCTGGACAGGGCCCCAGAGACTTTTCAACCTCCACTCCTGAGCCCTAGGATGACCCACAAGCCTTTAGCCAAGCACAGCCTTTGGCCTGAGGCAGGGCAGGCTGACCTCTGCGTGCTCCCTAGGGATCCTCTCATCGAGCCTGATGAGGGCCCCAGCTGGACCGCTTGCCCTTCCCTCCCAAACCCAGTCCAAAGTCCTGTCCACAAGAGCTTTACCCACTGGGAGACACTCGTGATTGAGCACCTACACAACACCAGGAATGCATACCCGCCACAGTAGCTGGAAGATTCAAATCCCTACTGTTGTCTGATGGGGACAGTCAGGCCAGATATAGGAGGCAGAGCCAGGCTTCCCAGCAAACACCTGGCCTGGAACACGTATACAAGGAGCTGTGCACACCCATCCACCACACTCCCAGGAGGCCATCAGAGAGGAGGAGGCTGGGCAGGGGATTTTTATGCATGTTTATATTTAATGAACCACATGCAAATGAGATGGGGAATAGCCACAAAGGAGCCAGCCCCCAGAGACTCTCAGGGGAGGCCACAAAGGCTCCTCATCCTCATCCTTTCGAGCTGCTGGGATGCCTGGGAGTCCAGAACAGGACTGTGGATTGAGGGAGCCTGAGAAGGGACACTGGGGCCACAAGGAGGGCTGTCCAGGCATGCCGGGGAGTCTAGAGCAGGGACAGCCAGCAACAAGCTACAGGGTCCCTGCTGCTGTTGGGAGGGGGCTCCCTGTGGGAGGGAGGGAGCCACTGCCCCAATTGATGGAGTGCCAGAGGGGAGGGGCTGCAGCTTGGACAGATGGTGTACCGCCTTCCTGCACTTGAAGCAAAGTGGATTTTAATGAAATCTCAGTCCGGGTGCTGAAGCTGGGAGCTCGGATGGGAGGGGCCTTTCTCCAGGTTTGCAGTGTGGGGCCTGAGCCAGGGTGGGAACAGGGTGGGAGGAACACTTAACCAGCTGGGGGTACAAGGGGCCACCATGGCCCCCTCTGTAGATCAGAGTTTAAGTGTGAATCTGATCCCCAGATTGAATATTTATGACACATTGAAATGTAGATGGGTAGGTTTGACAGTCTTCTGAGAGGCCTGTCACCTTGCATGGATACACTACCCTCTTGGGGCGTTTGTGGAAACTGCAGAAGAACTGCGTGTAGGGGGAGAGGACAAGGGAGGAAGAAAACGATGGAAGTCCCCCGGCTCTGGTACAGAAGAGGCTGGCAAAGCTACTATTGACAATATTCCTACTAGGTAACAGTGGTGAACTGGGCCTCTGGGCCTCAGTTTCCAGTTCTGTAGAACGTGGCACATACCGCTCAGGTCACAGCAGTTAAAAAGACAGTCGCCAATTTGGGAAAAGTGCCTTTCTCTAGGTGGCCTTCATAAGTGAGGTCCTGGAGACCCTCCCCTCCGAGGGAAGCCTCCACAGCTCACACAAGTCTTGTTAGAGCTTCATCATTCTGGAATTGGTCTGCCAGCCATGTCTACCCTACAGTCAATTGAAGCCACAAATACAGTCCAGTCCAGTGTTATAAATATATTCAAAACATTATGAATATTTTCTCCCCCCCCCCTTTTTTTGTAACACGATTGTATGGTTCTCAGTTGTGAACTTTGTGTATGACAACGTATTGTCTCAGTGTCTCCTCCCCAGGTCTCTTAAAGATTATGCCATGTCTGGGATCAGAGTGTGCCTGCCCACAGTGGGGAGGGCTGGTGTGTTTCTTAAGCTACTATACTGCCTCAAGCAGACAGCACCTCAGTGGGTGACCCTCACCTCTCCCTCTGCACCTCCACAGTGCACCTTATCTGTCCCCCCTCTTCTGTTTCCCCAGCCATGTCAGACTTCCATGTGCACCCCCAGGCCACCATGGGTGAGGAAGGTGGTGTGGCCCGCTTCCAGTGCCAAATCCATGGGCTTCCCAAGCCCCTGATCACGTGGGAGAAGAACAGAGTTCCCATTGACACAGACGATGAGAGGTGAGCCTCTAGTGGGAAGGGCAGAGAGGATGACTGGGGTACTGACTTTGGATGAAGACTGCAGAAGCCTTGTGTGTGTCACCAGTGCCTACAGCCTGGGGCAATGCTATTTATGCAAGCTGCAGTCACATGGCTTACTGGGCCCAGATTCTAGGCTCATGAAAATGTGTGTGAGGATTGCCTGTGGTTGTTATCAAGATTGGGGGGTGGGGGCTCCCAGTGAGCGTCTGTGATCACAACACTCTGGTTGAGTTAGTGTCCACACCTCAGTTTATGTCCCCATGGTTTGAGGTTGCAATGACTGTGCTGGTAGTCAACTGTGCCCTCCCCTAACAGGTACACATTACTGCCCAAGGGGGTCTTGCAGATAACAGGACTTCGGGCAGAGGACAGCGGTGTCTTCCATTGTGTGGCCTCAAACATTGCCAGTGTGCGGGTCAGCCATGGGGCGAGGCTCACTGTGTCAGGTGAGCTCCTTTGGCCTGCCCAGTTCTCTCAGCCACCCCAGCTGGTCTACTCCCAGACAGACCCAGTTCCCCAGCATGACCAAGTATATATGGAGGCCCTGTGAGCACAAGCTGACAGCAGCTAAGCCTGGTCTCTAGTCCTCTCTTCCTGAGAAGCATGTTTTCCCAATGATCCCTGAGCTCTCCTAGTGCAGGAGGCCTGGCTGGGAGAGGAAGAATGGTCAGGACCCTCAGGCTCCCCAGCATCTCCTAGTCTTCAGTACTTGGTTTGGGGGTGGTGTGTGTGTATCCACGGTCATGAGTAGGAGTGAGGAGGTGGAAAGGCCTCCAGCTGAAATCAGGAAATGTGGTTTTCTCCTCCCAGGCTCAGGCTCTGGGGCCTACAAGGAGCCCACCATCCTTGTGGGGCCTGAGAACCTTACCCTGACAGTGCACCAGACTGCAGTGCTGGAGTGTGTCGCCACGGGCAACCCGCGTCCCATTGTGTCCTGGAGCCGCCTGGGTGAGCCTTATCCAAAGCCCAGCTCTCTGGCCAGCCCAGCCCCTGGGAGGGCTGGTCTCATGGTCTCATCACCCAGCTCTGGGGACTTTAAATTGTGTTTGTTCTCCGCAAGGGCCTATCCCTCCCTCCCTGTGGCCTGGGGAGGGGCTGCGTTTCTCTGAGGTCAGCCTGCTGCTGCTGCATTCTCTCCCTCGCTGCAGGGCTGGCTTAGCTCCCTGGGTTACCAAGTATAGACAGTTCTCAGTGCCTCTCTAGGCCCCAGAACTCTCTGCAGCCCTCAGCACCCAGTCCCTCCCACCCACCCTCTGTGCCCTGGCCACACCCCCAGCTATGCTATCCTCAGCCTTCAAAATCCTAGCAAGCAACCCACCCTGGCTCTGCTCTCCCACTCCCAGGCTTGCCCCAGCCAGAATCCCCAGGCAGCAGAAGAAAGCAGTGAAAGGGTGCAGATGGGCCACTAGTCTGAGCCGAAAGGTCACTGGGGGAAGGAGCCTCTAGAGGGGTGGGGTGGGGCGGCATTCACCAGGAGACTATGCCTCACTAGCAGCTGAGTGATGGGGGAAGGAGGGGCCGTGTGGGATAATGGAGTAGATTTCACCACTTCAGGGTCTGAATGGGGAGCTGTCTCCTTGTGTTCTGGCTGTGCTAATCTGATCCCTGGGGTGGGGGGAGGGCCTGGGTCCCAGGGAGAGGCTGGAAAGAGCATACTACCATCAGGAGCCACTAGGCACTCTGGGGGCCATCTGCTCCATCATTTCCCAAAGTATGGCCTAGCAGGAGAAAAAGAATGGCTCAGGGGCCTAACAAGTGTGGGAAACAGAGTTAACCAAGGCTCTTTACTGAGGAACTTCTCAGAGCCGTTATATTCATGGGCTTGTAATGTGCCTCAGCATCCTAGAGTAGAACGGATCTTAAACCACGGGGTTTACAACTGCTGGACGATTTCAAATCCTCTATGGATTCGGGGAGAAGGAACTAGGGGCTGAAGCAGGAGGGTGTCACCCTAGGCTATGCAGTGAGATGCTGTCTTAGTCAAAACAAACAGTAACAGCAAAAGCAGCTAGCAATCATCACGCTAGCATCAGGACACTGGCCCCTGCTGCTGGGCTCAAGTACTGTGCATTTCTCTGCCACTTCTGGAGCTCTGCCAAAGCCATAGGTCAGGGCTTTCTGAAAGAGTGGTAAAGGGGAAGCCTTCTGGAATGTTCTCATCCTTCCCATCTTTCACACTCCTGCCACTGCTCATTCTCCCTCCACTTCCATTGCAGATGGCCGCCCCATTGGGGTGGAGGGCATCCAGGTGCTGGGCACAGGGAACCTCATCATCTCAGATGTGACCGTCCAGCACTCAGGTGTCTATGTCTGTGCAGCCAACAGGCCTGGCACCCGGGTGAGGAGGACAGCCCAGGGCCGGCTGGTGGTACAAGGTACAGAGCAGCCAAACCCTCCCCATGCCCCATCAGCATCTCTGGTCTGTGTCAGAGACTAGTACCTTCTATTACTGCAGCTGTCTATCCTCACCCTAGCCCTGACTCTCACCCCTCTTCAGTCTCCGGCCAGGTCAAAGACAGCAGGTCTTCCCCAGAACATGAGTGCTAGAAGCAAGAGGGGTGTGGCATTCTCTGACTTGCGACCCATGTACCCTGCACATGTCAGTGACACCCCTCCACCTTGGAAGGCACTGCCACTTTCTGATATCAGCAGGTCATTCCCTGGCTCACACATGTCCCTTCCCGTGGAGCCGTTTCATTCACACATGGGGCACTTCCATGCTCACACCCGCCTGCTGTGCGCTCCAGTGTGCCTGTCATCTCCCCCTCACACAGCAGCTCCCACCCTGCTCACAAGATGTGGGGCCTGCAGCCAGCCTCAATTTCCATTTCCAGGGCTTTCCCTGGCTGTCTCTCCTCCCATGGCATGGGCATGGAGATGGGAAATGAGGGATTAGGAACTTAAATGCCGTTTGTTTAGCATGCTATATGCTGTTAATCTGTCCACATGAAGGTGATAGAGTATTCCATTCCTGGGTGTTAATAGAGGCTTGAGGCCGGGGATTGGAGGGAAGTAGAACTGGGTGGTGAAGGGGGGCAGCTCATCCATCTCTTGTCATTACAGCCTTGGAGGTGCAGCCAGCCCTATTAGCACATTTATTTATTTAACAATTTCCTGAGCAGGGAGCTCCGCTTGATTGCTTTCGGATACAGATGTCAGTCTTTTAAATAGTCCTTAAGATGGAGTCCTATTCCTAGATGCTGGGGTGAAGGAAGAAGAGAGGGAGCCCCTCCTGGCCTACGTAGAGTACTCTTCTCTGGCATGTTACCCTTCCTCCTCACCCCCTCATTCGTGGCTGTCCCTGTTCCTCTTTACATGACCCCTATGACTCTACACACTTCTCCGTGCCCACTCAGCCCCAGCAGAGTTTGTCCAGCACCCTCAGTCCATCTCCAGGCCGGCTGGGACCACAGCCATGTTCACCTGCCAAGCTCAAGGTGAGCCACCTCCTCATGTCACATGGTTGAAGAATGGACAAGTGCTGGGTCCAGGAGGCCACGTCAGGCTCAAGAACAATAACAGGTGTGTGAAGGGGGGTGTGCGCGTGCGTGCACAAGCGCTCGGGCACATACTCATGCATGCTTCATGTTAAGGTGCCATCATGGGAAGAAACAGTGGTCTGAAATAAGTGACCCAAATATACTGTGTATCTCTAGCTGGGGGAGAGTGCTAAGATGGGAGCCTGGGACTTGGGTCTTAAATCTTGCGCCTGCCACCCTTGTGCTCATAAGTCTTGCTCAGACAAGGAGGGGCTCAGTCTCTCAGGTGAGAGGTGTGGTCCGCCTCTGAGGCTCTCCCTTCCCTTGCAGCACATTGAGCATTTCTGGAGTTGGTCCTGAAGATGAGGCCATCTACCAATGTGTGGCTGAAAACATTGCTGGCTCATCCCAAGCCAGTGCCAGGCTGACCGTGCTGTGGGCCGAGGGGTTGCCAGGCCCTCCACGCAATGTCCGTGCTGTCTCTGTGTCCTCCACTGAGGTTCGAGTGTCTTGGAGCGAGCCTCTAGCCCACACCAAGGAGATCATTGGCTATGTCTTGCACATCAGGAAGGCTGCCGGTGGGTAGTGATCATCAGGAGAGCTCTGTCAGCCACCCTCACTCACTGTAGCTAACCCCCTGAACCACACACAGCCTGACCCCAACACCTTCCTTTCCTTCCACACCCTGCTCCCTGACCACCTCATTTCACCAAAGCTCCCAAGATGCCCTCCTGTTCCTTTACACTCCCTTTGCCTCCCAGACTCACCCAAGCTGGAGTATCAGGAAGCCGTTAGCAAGAGCACCTTCCAGCACCTGGTCAGAGACCTTGAGCCTTCCACAGCCTACAGCTTCTACATCAAGGCCTACACACCAAGGGGGGCCAGTTTAGCCTCTGTCCCCACCTTGGCCAGCACCCTGGGTGAAGGTAAGGAATATGGGATGCAAAACCATAGACGCTCAGGCTTTGGGAGTAGAGCCATCACGTACACCTGTTCAGGTTATGTATACACAGGTGCTGGGCCCTGAGGCTGAGTAGAGACTGGCTGTGCTGGGAGGAAGGGGTGACCTTTTCTAATTCACAGAAAGGTGCTGTCTGAGTAAGACCATGTCCTGTGCCTGAGGTCAGAGGGTTGTCAGGTTCTTGGGTTCTAGGTCACAGGCAGAAAGCTAGAGCTCCATCTGACTGCTCCCGTCTTGGCCCCCTAGCCCCCACCCCACCCCCACTATCAGTGCGGTTGTTGGGCAGCTCCTCTCTGCAACTGCTGTGGAAACCCTGGCCACGGCTGGCCCAACACAATGGGGGCTTCAAGTTGTTTTACCGCCCAGCCAGCGCAGCCTCCTTCACCGGCCCCATCTTGCTCCCTGGGACCGTCTCCTCTTACAACCTCAGCCAACTTGGTGAGACCTGCAGGGCAAGGGGCTGGGCAAGGTGTGACACTGGGTGCCAGGGGTGGTGTCCTTCCCTTCCAGGACAAAGCTGCCTGGTAGGGAAGGGAAGTTGCTCAGTAGCCCTGCTTCCTGCAGACCCCAGCACTGTGTATGAGGTGAAACTCCTTGCCTACAACCAGCATGGGGACGGAAACGCCACAGTCCGCTTTGTGTCTTTGAAGGGAGCCTCTGAGAGGACAGGTGAGGGTTAACAATAGGACATGGGCTATATCCTGGCCTGAAGGGAGGGAAATGGGTGGGAAGAAGGCTAGGTAGGAAGAGGTCAGTGTGTGTAGCCCGTGTGCACACAGCTGTTTGGCCGTGGGCAAGCTGCCTAACTTCTCTCCAGTTTCTCAGTATGAAGCAGGGTTAACTATACCTACTTTATAAAACTATGGTAAGGATGAAACAGTCGGAAAAAAAAACAAAAAACAAAAAAAAAAAACAAGGTGTAGCTGGTCCTGGCTGGGAATACAGCTCAGTTGACAGAATGCTTGCCTAGGGCTGGGCAGTGGTGGTGCACTCCTTTAATCTCAGCACTTGGAAGGCAGAGGCAGGTGGATCTCTGTGAGTTTGAGACCAGCCTGGTCTACAGAGCAAGTGCCAGGAGAGGCTCCAAAGCTACACAGAGAAACCCTGTCAACCCTGTCTCCAAAAACCAAAAAGAAAAAAAGAAAAAGAAAAAAGAAAGAAAAAAAACCCAAAACAAAAAAACAGACATAGCATCTATAATCACAGCACTCAGGAGTTAGAAGCTGGAGGATGAGAAGTTCAAGGCCATCCTCAGCTACATAGCAAGTTTGAGGCCAGCCTGGGCTAGATGAAACCCTGTCTTGGTATCTGGTACAGAGCTGATACTTGGAATTCAGAAAAAAACTGAAAGATTGAGCTGGGGTCCCAAAGGAAAACTGTAAGGGGTCAAGCAGAGGAAGAGGGCTGGGGAGTCTTGCTTGCTGGGGAGGCCAGGCAAGCTATGCCCCAACCCACCCTGCCCTCTAGCCTTGAGTCCCCCATGTGACTGCCGGAAGGAAGATGTCACCAACCATACATCCACCACAGGCATTGTTATCGGCATCCACATCGGAGTCACCTGCATCGTCTTCTGTGTCCTATTCCTCCTGTTTGGCCAAAGGGGCAGGTGGGTCCTGAGTCTGGGGAGGAACTGTTGGCAGGGGAAGGTGGCCGAGCTGGCACCTCAGCCTCTGTCCCTGATGCTACTCCCCTAACTCTTGGCTCATCTCTTAGGGTCCTCCTTTGTAGGGATGTGGAAAACCAGCTTTCCCCTCCCCAGGGTCCCCGGAGCCAGAGGGACCCTGGTATCCTGTCCCTAAATGGAGTGAGCCGAGGAGAGGGAGGCCAGCTAGGCCGAGATGAGAAGCATGTGGACGCCAAGGAGTTGGAGCAGCTGTTCCCTGCAACCGGATCAGCTGGGCAGCCAGGCTCCAGGCCTACTGTGAGTGCCTGTGCCTGCCACCCATCTCCCTCAGTCTCTGACTCCCTCATGCTGCCCCTTCCTTCAACTCCACCACAGGGCAAGATCTTCCTGGGACACCTAACTCCTGGTCAGGGATGCTCTTTGGGTCCTGAGTCAGGCTGGAAGGCCTAGGGATGGTCAGGCATAACCAGCCTGCATCCTTCAGGCCACAAGCTTCTGCACCTGGCAGTAACAGCTATGAATGTGGCCCAACACAAAATCATAAATTGACTTAGAATGAACTGGCCAGGCATGGTGCGCACACCTTTAATCCTAGCACTCAGGAGGCAGGGGCAGGTGGATCTTTGTGAGTTCAAGGTCATCCTGGTCTACAGAGTCAGTTCCAGGACAGCCAGGGTTACACAGAGAAACCATCTCTCTGAAAACAAAACAAAACAAAAAAAACAAAAAACAAAAAAAAAAAACAAAAAAAACAAAAAACAAAAAACAAAAACAAAAAAAAAAAACCAGGGTGAACTGGGTGTGGTGGTATATACCTGTAATCCTAGCATCACTCATGATGTGAGGGTGTGAGGACCAGAATTCCAGGATTAGCCTTGGCGACATAGAGAGTAAGCCTGAGTTACATGATAACCTCTTTAAAAAAAAAAATGATTCTAGCCTTGGTGGTGCACACCTCTAATCCTAGCACTCAGGAGGCAGAGGCAGAGGCAGATGGATCTCTGTGAGTTCAAGGCCAGCCTGGTCTACATAACAAGTTCCAGGCCATCCATGGCTACACAGTGAGACCTTGTCTCAAAATAAAAAGGGAAAGGATTTCAGGGTTTTATTCTTTGTTTCGGTTTTGGTTTTCTGAGACAGGATTTCTTAGTGTAGTCTTGGCTGTCCTGGAACTGAACTCACAGAGATCTGCCTGCCTCTGCCTCCCAAGTGCTGGGACTAATGCCACCACCGCCCGTCGAGAAAGGATCTTTTTATATGACTTGACTAAATGGTCCTCCAGCATGATCTTTTTGATGACAATGTGCTACAATGTGAAAAGTCTAGACACATCTGCTGGACCCACAACCCAGGGTGGGGTGGAGACTGACTCTTACCTCTGACTCTGATACTGACTTCTATATCCAACCTTTCATTCCTCAGGATCCCTCAGCCCCTATTCCATGTGGGGAGACCCAGGTCTCCATGGTTCAGCTCCAAGGTTTCAACCTTGTGCCAGGGAGGACAACAGAGGCCAAGTCCCCCTTTGCAGGCCCTGGGCCTTCCCCAGAGCCCCAAGATGCAGGCCTCCTCAGTGAAGGACAGGCCACCCTGTCTCCAGCTTCTCTGTGAGCTTACTTGGGACGACAGCCAGAGTTGGTGTGTTCTGAGGGGCAATGCCCCATTCTCAGGTCGAAAGCGAGGTTTTTCCTGTTCCGTGGAACTTGGATGGTTTTGGGAGCTCGCCAGTGCTTCTAGCTTGACTGAAGGACAGGGTTCTCAAACCACAGAAGCCAGAGGGTCCTACAGGAAGGCATCTCCCCTGGAGCCAGAGGGTCCTACAGGAAGGCGTCTGTCTCCCCACTAGAGCTAACGTCCCCTCATCAATGCCTGCTGCCCACAAGACTTCTAATGAAACAAAGTTTTCCTTTAAAAATCAAAATTTAAAAGTCAAAAAAGAAAGAAGAGAGAGAAAGTGAATTATACTTAAAAAACAAGACAAACAAAACCCACGTCCCTACTGTGGCTTGGCCGATGCCGTTGCCCTGCTCCGATCTTGTTTTCTCAGGATGGATTTTAGCTGTTTTGACTCTCAGCACCTACCTCAGCCGGAATGAATGTCCTTGGGAGTAGTGGGGCAGTAACCTCAGCCCCCTGTCCCCCAGAGTCCCAGTGCACTCCTACCTCAAGCCCTCCTTTGGAGTACCCCTCCCACCCCATATTCTTTCCCTGAGTAAAAGAAAAAGAAGAAAAATAAAAAGGAAAAAAAGAAAGAAAAAGAAAAAAATCAACAAAAAACACTGTCCCAATTCTAAGTGTGAAAGAAACTGTCTACCTCAAGCCTCAAGGCCCTCGGTGTGGGCCTGTGTTGTCACTGGACCCTCCTAAGCCCCCTTCTCCTCTAGCCTTGCCTACCTCTCCCCCAAAAGAGGAGGCTGTGGCTAAGTGACCATGGGGCTTACAGAAATTGAGATGAAATTGGCCAGAGAGAAAATGTGAAACAAGCCAAAAACAAGGGGAAGGTTGTTCCTTGAAGTATAAATTGTTGTCCCAAACTAGTCACCTTCCTGCATACCGCTTGTCCTCCATCCCCTGTGTCTATCCACCCCCCTGTCCTGACCTTCTCAGACAAGCCACTGGGCCTGGAGAAGGTAGGACATAACTTGGAGGCTTGTCTCCTGCTCTGCCCAGACATGGGGCCCAATCCCTGGAATGTACTATATTATTTGGAGTGGGTACACCCCCACAGAGGCACCCCAGCTTTCTGTATCATGGGACCCAGGTAACCTGATCTACCCAGTCAGCAGGGGTGGCCAGGAGTTATTTTTGTATGAGGTGTGTTTACGTTTTATTTCTCTGTTCTGTTGTATTGTTCTTTGAACTACTTAGGTTAAAAAGAAGAAAAAGAAAGAAAAAATGCCTATTTTTGGTTACACTCAGAAACATTTTTTTAAATAGAAGAAGGAAAACTTTTTTTAAAGAAAAAAAAAGGGGGATAAATGTATTCCTTAAAAATAAGGTTAGAACATAAAGTCCCTGACCCCGGATCCTCTAGGGACTGTTCATCCTGAACTTTAGATAATTAGCTGACCAAGTTAGAATTTGTGGTGTTTTATTAGAAAACTAGAGTCTTGTCCAAGTGGACATGGGAAGGGCAGTTTGTCCCTTCTCCCAAAAGGTAGGTGGACTTCAGGGTTCTTCCTGTTCTGAGGAAGGGCCCTCTGTCCCATTCTCTTTGGTCAGAGGGGCTGTGGGGAGAGGGGACTGGCAGCCTCCTTGGCCTGGTTTGGGTTTGTTACAGTCTGTTCATTTTAACTGAATAAAAGTACTGTTGCCAAAGTGAACATTGAGTTTTTTGGTACTGTGTCAGGTTCTGGGCCATGGAGGGCAGGGGGATGGGGGCACATTTTGGGGAAAGGATCCTCACAGTGTCAGGGCCTGGGACAACAATGGCAATCAAGCCTTCAGAACTGTGTGAGGCACCACAGGTGGCCACGGTGTGGTCAGGTCACATGTCTATGCATGGCCTTGTGAAGTAGTTGGGCCAGTAATCGTTTCCATTATTAGTTACATAACTCAAGAAGGGGAGGAGCTGGAGTTGTAGCTCAGTTGGCAGAATCCTAGCATAAGGCCCTGGTTATTCCCCCAGCACTGCATAAACCAGGCATGGTGGTATGCAGCTGTCATCCCAGCACTCAGGAGGGGGAGGCAGGATCACAGGAAAGAAGAAGTTCAGGGTCATACCCAGTTACATTGGCACCCCTCCCCTCCCACCAACCACCCCATCTACTGTCTCAAGGCAGCCGGTACTAGCCACGGCTTGAAACCTATTCTGACTGCCTGGTGCCCTTTAACGTATTTTAAAGTGGAGTCTACACTGCTTAAGAGCTGTGGTTTGGGCAGGCCTGGGAGTGGGCAGCTATCTCTGTTCTACTCAGTCTCACTCACCGGACCCTCTTCCCATTGGTGTAATCTATTTCCCTAAGTATGAGCAGCCTTCATGACTTGCTTTAATTAACAATGTAGCAGTTAGTATTGAATCACTAGGGCCAAGTTAGAAATAATTGTATGACTGCTACATTGTTTATTAAAGCAAGCCGTGTAGGTTCAGTGAGAGATGATGTCTCAAAAATAAATAATAAATAAAATAAATATACACAAACAAAAAATCAGGCAAAAAGCAATCAAGGCACACACACACACACACACACACACACACACACACACACACACACGCATGTAACACACACAGAACCAGAGGCTGGGCATGAAGCTCTGTTGGTAGTTTGGCATGAAACCCTAGCTAGATTCAGTCCCCAGAACTTGCATAAACCAGGCATGGTACTACACACCTGTAATCCCAGCATCTGAGTTGTAGAGGCAGGAGGATCAGTTCTGGGTCATCTTCAACTATGTAGAGAATTTGAGGCCAACCTGAGCTAGAGACCCTGTTAAAAACAAACAGGAGGCGGCAGGTGATGAGCCTAGCACCCACATAGTGGAAGGAGAGAACTGACTTTTGCAAGTAGTGTTCTGACCTCCACAGGCACACTATAGCATGCAAACCAAACAAACAAACAAACAAGGCTTAAGTGGAGGGAGGGCAGCTGCAGCTGAGGTGGAAAGGAATCCTATTCTTGGCCTGACTTCCCTGAGCTCTCTGGAGCGAAAGGAGCCTCTGGCAGCCTGATAGCCCAGCTCTTAAGGAGCTGAACTATGACAAGCAGGCTTTTCTGCCACCTCGTGGAACAAATGAACACTACATCCAATGGGACGGATGTGCCACATTAAACACCAGTAGCAATCAAGATGTGCTTTGCCCCCTCCCTGCAAGAGAGGGGCAGAGACACCTTCTATGAACTTACAATACAAATAATCCACAAGTATCGAAAGACTGTCTTGGATGCATAGCTGTGGAAACAGAAGGCATGGGGTTGCTGAAGTACTGGATTAAGGAAGACTTTTTAGAGGGATAGAAAAGTCAGGGAGTAGCAAAGAAAGGTTGGAGGTATGGACATGAACCAGGAGGTCATCGGGCAGCCAGGACGCTGTCATTTGCTGCATGGGTCATGGCACTTTGATACACAAATGGAAAACATATAAATAGAATGACTACTGGATTCCCACACAGTATGCTCTTCCTTTGTTTTGATGTTGCCTGGATCATCGTCTGAGTAAAGAAAGGGACTCCAGTGAAGTCTCATGTCCCAATGACAGTGATGACATCTGTAATTTATTCTTTTTATTTTGCATTAATTTTTTATTACATTTGTTTATTTACTGTGGAGGAGGACGATGTGTACATCCTGGGGCACATGTGAAGGTCACAGGACAACTTATGGGATCTGATCTCTCCCACCATGTGAGTCCGGAAGACTGAGTTCAAACCATCAGATTTAAAAGCAGGTACCTTACTCACCTGGGCAGCGCTGGAGAGCTCACCCTGATGGTGCCGATGAAGGGGAACTGGTGGGCTGACCAACCCTGCCACCACCCAGGCCCAGACCAGGGCTTTGATTTGGCCCACCCCAACATCCACCCAATCTATGATCTGCTGGAGCACATGAAGGGACTGGTCCTGCAGACCCAAAGCTGCAGGATCTCCATGACACAAGACAACAACAGGATAACCCAGATTGAGGGCCCAGTATTGGTGGTAGAAACCAGAGGCCTAGAACCAGACCAGGGACTCACTGCAATGAAAATTTGCAAGTAAAAGAACTAAAGGAGAGGGGCTGGAGAGATGGCTCAGGGGTTAAGAACTAAAGGGGAGGGGCTGGAGAGATGGCTCAGAGGTTAAGAGCGCCGTTCTTCCAGAGGTCCTGAGTTCAATTCCCAGCAACCACATGGTGGCTCACAACCATCCATTATGAGAGCTAGTGCCCTCTTTTGGTGTGCAGATATACATGGAAGCAGAATGTTGTATACATAATAAATAAATAAAATCTTTTAAAAAAAAGAGCTAAAGGGGATACTCACTCTGTCACACTGCAGCTTCCATAATGAGATTTGTTTTTCCTTTAAATTTTATTTTGTTTTATCTTGGGGGGTGGTTGCAAAGGCAGAGAGAGGGCAGATATGAAGGGGCTGGGAGATGAGTTGCAAGTTGCACGTTGTGAAATCCACGAGGAATCAGTAAAAAGTTAAAATAGAAAAAAAAAAAAAAAAGCAGATGCCTTAAGCAGATGAAGAAACCAAGGCCCAGGGAAGTGAAGGGTAGGTCAGGGCTTGACTCCCAGAGTCCTTGTCCTAACAGGCCACTGACTTGTTCTGTGTTTCCAGGAGGAAAACTGGAGGATGGAATAGAAACAAACTGAAATGGAGTTTTTTGGTTTTGTTTATTATAATTTTTTATTAGAAAGAAAATTATTTTACATGTCAATCCCAGGTCCCTCTCCCTCCCCTTCTCCTCTGCCCCCACAACTAACACCCTACCCATCCCATCCCCTTTCTGCTCTCCAGGGAGGGTGAGGCCTTCCATAGGGGGTCTGCAGAGTCTGTCATATCCTTTGGGATAGGGCCTAGGCCAACCCCCTTGTGTCTAGGCTCAGGGAGTATCCCTCCATGTGGGATAGGGTCCTAAAGTCCATTCCTATGTTAGGGATAAGTACTGATCTACTACAGGAGGCCCC